TCACGTGCTTCGACGGTAATAGAGAGAACGTCATTTTCACCTCGATTTATTTTAGTCCGCTGTTTATTCAGTTGCACAAATCGATTTCTTTTCCGCGCGATAATAATTAGCTAAATAGGCAGGCATGCGTCTTCATCAATCTGGTAATTTAAAAGTGGACCGGAAAATCGTGAGTCGAGGCTGGAAATTGATCGCAGGATCTGGCGTTTATTAAATCCGCTCGTTAAAACAGCGTCGATACCGTGTTGCGCTGCGTTGCGCGTGTGTTTTGCATTTTACGACATGTCCCCGATCGCCGCGTGACGCGAATCCACCCGCCCACCGTCCACGCATATCGTGCGCGCCAGAATTTCGCGAGCACCGTGTATATTTTATGGGGTACGCGCGGTGGCAGTCTGCGTGGCGACACCGGAGGTCGATACCGTGCGCGCGCGCGCAAGAGAGAGAGAGAAAGAGAGTCTCCCGGAGGGACGCGGCAGGATTCCCTCTCCTTCCCTCCCTGGTTGCCGTCGTTCTACCGTCACCGAAAAAGGGAGAAAAAGAACAGAGGATCTTCGATAGCTCCTCCGCCCGTCCGCCCGCGCGAAAAAGAGAAAGATAGATAGAATGAGACAGAGAGACGAACAGAGGGAGAGAGAGAGAGAGAGTGATCAGGGCTGTGATTTCCCTATCACGCGTCTTGTCGGGCATAAAATTGCAATTTCACCCATGGCCCGGCCAGATGACCTACGAGTTCTAATATCCGCCTGTAATAATCGCGCGAGGGTATCCGGCGCGACGCCGTTACACCGGTAATGGCATTTACCTTTACGATAGAAGCGTTCCGCGGTGAAATTGTTTTGGAGATTGAAATCCCCTATACTCCTCCCCCTTCCTTACCCCGCGCGCTGTGGACCGCCGGTTTAATCTGGCCGGCTGGAGCAGCGTCCAGCCAGCGGCGTTATTAATTCAACGGCTGTGATAGATCGGTCGACGTTCATTTGATCCTCGAGACTGGCGGTGAAGAGATCTCGTTGCGGGATACGTTTTGGAGGCGCGAGTCGGAGGAGAGCGGTCGGGGAACACGCGGAAAGCGACACCCTCGGGCGCTCGTGTATATCTTTCTCGGGTCTGAGTCGATTTTCAGACGGGGAGACGCCTTGACTCCTGTCGTCGTCGACGATATCGAATTCGAACGAAAGCTCGACCGAAATTATTATCTAACGGTTAATGAGTCAGGAGAATGCGCGATCTCCGCGTCTCGGTCGCCAGAGTAATGGACAGAAAGAGAGAGAGAGAGAGAGAGAGAATTTAGAATTTACCACTCGCGGTGAAATTGTTTTGGAGATTGGAATTCTCGGAGCCGCGCGGACCCGCCGCGCCACTGATTTAACCTGACAGCGAACGTGTACGGCGTTGTTATTAATTTACGATCCGAACGTCCGTCACGTTCTCGTGCGCACTCGCCCGACACACTCGCGGGGAGAGAAATTTTACGCGGAGTCCGCGGAGCGTCGTCGGGAGTCGAAACGCCGGAGAAATCCTCCTTCCCGCGCGGACGGACTACGCCGGGCAAGATGGGCGCTTTACCCGGACGAGTCGATCTTTCGCGCTACGCTCGTCCTTCCGCCCGTCATAAGTGACAGCGAGATGTCTCGGCCGTCCCAGTTCCCCGGGCTGTCGATAAGGTTACGTATTCGAGCGTACTCCCACGAGGGGAGGAGGGATGGTAAATTCGTTAATCGTGTCGCCCGTTCCCGAGTACTCGGGGCAAGACAAACACGCCGAGGCACGTTGCCGGGAGCGACCGGCGAAGCGCAGCCTCCGTATCCGAAATCGCAATTTCCGCGGACCTTATACGGCTCCTACAAGTGCCAATATCGAGTTTCACGGACTCGCGAGATTCTCTCTCTCTCTCTCTCTCTCGCGTTCGTTTACTCTCGTAGCCCAGATGCTGTTTCTCGAGTTCGTCGCGCAACCACCGCTCGTATACCTACGCGTCTACGCGTCTCCGCGTTATTGAAAAACACACGCCAGCTGCCGCTGTAATCGATCGCCACCCCCCGAGTAATCGATTTCCGATCTCTGAATAATTCTCGTGCGTCGTGTAATTATCGAGAGTGCATTCATCCCCCCTCCCGCGCGACGCCCGAGAGAGGAGAGGATCAGCCGGCGATTTTTCTTCTCCGGCCCTAATTTGGCGACACGCCCGCGAGAGCGGTTCGCACTTACCGTTCGCTCCCCCTCGTGACACTCATGATCGATTACATCGTCGTCTTCCGTTCGTTAAACCGAAGTTCGTCGACAAGTCGATAGTTTGTCCGCGCGTGCTTACACATCGGCCGTGAACGATCCACTCTGAACGATCCGAATGCGTTGACTGACGGATCAAAAGGGGCGCGTAGGAGGAGGGAAGACGCGCGTCCTTCCCCCCCTCCCCCCGGGTTTTCTCATCGCGCGGAAAATTTTCGCCGAATATAATCAAATGTAGCGTAAGTATGGGGAAAAATTTCACCTCGGCGTTAATGAAGTCTGTACTTCTGTGCGCTGAGAAAAGAATACTTAAAATCATATCTGCGGGGCGTAAGGCTCGTTTTGCAGAAACAAACTTTTATAGAATCTAATTCCTGCGAAATAAATCTCATATCTCGCAAATAAACGTTTAAATACTTTCTTCTCAGTGTGTGTGTGTGCGTGCGCGCCTTTATGAGAACAGCAAGACGGGATATTCGTTGTGTTGGTGATATAAACCATGGTGTCTGCAGAGCAATATATATATATATATACACACGCACACACACAATATTAATTGTCTCGCGTTGTGCTTTCCCAAATTTCCCATAGTGCCTTAAAGTCGTCTCGACGTTATTAGCGTATCCCAGTCGGACGAGACTACCGTAACTACTATTTCGGCTCACGGATGTTTACATCTTCGAGGGGAGAATGCTGTATCCGGCGTTACCCGGCGAACTCGCTCGCGAACAACGCCAGCAGGTCACGGGGCACGTTAGCGTTACCCGATCTTAATTAGTAATTAATCTGTCGGGATCCCGCGCGTCCACAATGGAGGAGCGGTGGTATCGAGCTCGATCCAGGGGGGATCAAGTAGGGTTAAGGCGATTGCTACCTCTTGCTGGAGAGAGCCAATCAAGTGGCTGATGCGGCTCGAGCGCGATAGCGGGAGACGCTCTGCTTCGAACGAAGACCGGCGGCGTCTCTCGTTTGCGAGAAGCGACCCGTCGAATATATCGAATATTCGAAGGTGGCGAGCGTGGATGAGGGTGGACGGATGGGCGGGC